CGCACGCACCGCGCATGCCCATTCGTCGGAAAGCCCGATACGAGAGCTGTATCGAACAGCCTAACCCTGGCGGTTATTGATTCGAACGCCAGCCAAGATGGCCTCCGTCTCGTTACCGCTCGTAGAGCACATTGGTGCACCAACCCGGTCCCCTACCGTTCACGCTAGACTTGCACGGCATGAGGCCCACCCCGCCCCACCCGTTCCGGCTTGATCTACGATCCGAACGGCGGCGAATCTCCCGGCGAACCATTCTCGCCCGTATGTCTCCTACGCGGAAGGTCCGACGCCGGTAACTACGTGCTTAGAGTCTGGAATGGATTCCGGGAATAAAATAAATTGCAAGACATGCTCGCCGTGCTATCTCGAGCGTTTTCAGAAAAGAAAAAAGTGCTGGCTACGTCTGAACTCGACGGGTTTCACTGCAGTTGTTCGAAGATAAAAGTATTTTTGAGGAATTGGTTCTTTAAACAAAGGATTATTTTGTCAAAGCCCGGAGAAGTGGTCGTAAATTTTGATGTATTTTTAGTATGGGAATAGTTCGAACAAACAAAGCTATATTTTCTCTATCGCGAATGAATTTTCCGACTTCGATTCAGATTTATTTTCAGATTGCAACGGATATCGAATACATAAATCATTAAACTTTGGCACGTAAACATATTAATAATATTAAAAAATATACTATCTGCTATATCTATTATGAATTTATTTTAATTCAACATTTGAAAATTGGTTATAATATTAGATATTGAATATAATAAAAATTGGAATTTTTAAAAAGAAACATTTTGATGCTTATCTAAGCTTATTAATTATCTTATTAAAATATATAGATATATCTATATATTTTTACTAGTCGGGTATACATAAAAAAATATAATATCGACACTAAAAAATTCAAATCATCCATGTTGTAAATTTTCTGACATTTTTTGGACATTGACATGAAGGAATTTACTCCTTTGAGACAATTTCTTCAATAATATACAATTAATAAATTATAGATATATTCCCTAACTTAACTACATTAACTCTATGAAAAATTAACAATCCCTCTTTCTTGAGCAAAAATCCCTTTCCATCATTGCCCAAGAAAAAGATGATCCCAGGCCCCAGTGATTTTTAAAACATTTCTTTATAATCACTCTGGTTATACATTTTAATCATCATTTTAGGGTAAAGAATATTTTCTTTAATTTTATCACCACAGAGTAAACACCCTGTACTTATATCTTTCTATAAGTTGAAAGCAATAAATTTAAAGTAGGTATAGTACTTTTTGCATCGAACCTATAATACGAGTATATCTTCTTTTTTTGGTCCTGCACGGTATAGAAATGCAATCTAAACTACCACAGTAAAATTTACCAATTTAATGGACAATTTCAGATCGTCGAGTCGATATAACGGAAAAAATTCTCGATTACAAACAAGAAAAAGTCCACCAGCTAAAGGCCTTCACGGCAATAATATTCCGAAAATATTCTAAGTGCGCCTCAGTTATCTCGCTTGACGTTTACGAGATCCTACTCCGCAATTTCCTTTAAATTTATTCCTTCTTTTTTAAGAAAAATGCACGGCTACGCGGACCGGCTCGACTGGTCTCGCCTATATCTGAAGGCGATGTCGAGAAACGAAATCTCCGCTTAATTTTTTTTTTATTTCTGCCGACCCGAGAGCGGAATGGACCGTGTAATGAATGTAATCTCACTCCTATTGGGTAGATTATACCTATTAGATTCTTCGGTAGGTAATATTTTCACATAAACTCGGTCGTAAACTTGCAAAAAGTTTGTTTTATTTTATTAAAAAAATCCTCAATTATTTTTTAGGTATAAAAATAATCAGAATTATAGTGCTTTTGTAAATATCTACCTACCTTAAAATATATAGATATGAAAGAAAAACATCAACACAAAATTGCACTCATATATTCACTTTTACACTTGTATCCCATGCACCATGCAAAGAACTGTTTTATTAAGCACATCAAACTGTAGAAAGCACATTTTGTAAATTGATATTTTTTATATGGTTTTAAATTAAACAATCCATAACTATTTAAATATAAAAAATTACTATGTAAATTTTAGATAGGTATAGGTTTGTACATCACACAGCTATTAAACCTATTTACCCCATCATCAAATATTAAAAATTTATTAGTCTGACTTAAATTTGAGAACACGTTTAAAAAAATTTTTCAACACCCGTGCAGGTATAATCAGAACAAATCACATCATATTAGACCAACTACACTCTTTGCAATACTGTATCAAACTAAATCCTCTCAATAATACGGAAACCATTATGAAGGCCTAAATATTTACACTTTGTCCTTCCCAAAAATAATTGTCCGGTCGTAAAACTATTAAACTTTTCTTTCGACATTTTTTTTCTACTTATACCCTTACGTATAGATACATTGAATGGATTAGCTGGAGAAGTAAGCGCTGAGGCATAAATATAGCATAAATAAAAAATGAGTGTGTTGGTGTATAAGTATAATTTCAAAATTTTTAAATGAAACTTTTGAAAATAAAAAAAAAATTACAAATCAAGGCGGGGCAGTGTATTAAAATAAAGAAAAAAGCGTTTCATCTTTTCTTTCCGTTTGACCGACTCGGCGTACATGCACATAAATACACGCGTATAAATTAGCCGGAATGTGAAACTGGAGGCGAGGCAACGAGCACGAGAGCTTCATAAACTCCAAAGAGTTATTGCGCGGGTTGACAACAAATATCTCCCTGTATAAAGCGAGAGAGTGGCTCGTGAAACGTAAAACGCGTACAGATAAACTCGCTTAAAATAAGTAAAGTTTTATGTCAGGCGTGACTGCACATAAGGCATGTTTCGATAAAACCGAACAATAAAGTCGGATTCGAAGGCGAAAAAACCGTTTAGTGCAGTTTTTGAATAAATAACTTTTATATGCCCTAGTCGAATGCAGTAAAAATTTTATGTAAAAATTATATTTTATTAATAGCACACTCCTATAATAATATTTGTCATAGTTTCATATGCGTTAACTGCAGGTTAAATTTTAAAACTTTGTTAGGTATATATCAGTACCAATTAAGAAATTCCAATTCTTTAATTTTTTTACTATTTCAATGAAATATTAAATGCCAATTCTTTTGTGAATATGAATTCATTTCTTGAATCATATATTATTAAACATTAATAAAATATAGGTATAAACTTCAAATTAACTCAAATATCTATAAAGTCTTATTCTTTTATGATTCATATTTATTTCTTCATAATTTACCACAAAAATAAATCTAAGGTAAATCATTGCCTTTTGCAAAATCAAAATAGCAATGCCTATACCGTATATCTTATAATTATTATAGTTGCAATAATATATAATATATCAAATGATTTTGGTTGAACTGTTAAGTAAATATCATAAAATTGTTTAGTATGAACAAACAGTCGTTATTACTTATATTACACGTCTCCTTGAATTCGTTTCGACTTAACGAGTAACGCATGAATAATTAATTAAGGACATAAATTATCAGACAATTAGATCCCGACTGTGGATACGCATACATTTGAATTTTAAGATTTTTTGAACGAATGCCGTACTATACAAACTAAATAATTAAGTCTTAAACAGGTTTTTTAAATTTAAAGTCTTAATTAAAATATAAAGAGCATACCTACAAGATCACTGAAACTAGATTTGGAATCATTAAAGGCGTTGATTATGAATTCACATCAGGATTTATTAGCATAACCTTTAGCTGATGCTTATGTTAATTTTGATATCTATTCACCTTATACATAAGTTTTTTTATACTAAAAGAATGTTAAGTAAAAATAAAAATCAATAATTATTTTATAACAGTTTTTTCAACATTAGATATAAACTATTTTTGGTTTTATTTCTATTTTTTTCATATCTTTTTTATTTAATATTACGCATATCGTAACTAATTTTCAATACAATTAATTCTATCTTCTTTATAGGTATATTATACATCAAACCCTAATTACATTGCCTTATATTTGTCATTAAAGATTAGACTGTATAATCGTATCTACCTATAAAATTTACGAGTGCTTTCCATTGAAACTAATTAACTTTTTTAAAATTCCAGATCCGCTCAATCGTCATCATGGAGTAAAGAAGACATCACGGTATAAGTTATTTCACATCTGTCTTGCCAGCCATCTTAGGTGAGTAGGCATTCCTCTTTTTGTACATCCGAGCTTTGTAATTAGAAAGGCAACGATGGGGCCTCCACCTAAATAAAAATACAGAATCGGATTTTAAAATATTGTTTTTCTCTGGAGAGCAAATATATAGATGTTTATTAACCATAATAATGTAGGTTCTTACCTAATAAAGTATAGATATAGGTACTTACCGTATTTTTAATAAATATGGGACTTAATTACCTCCAATATAGTAAAATACTTTCAATTTTACTATTAATTTTCAATACCTATCTACATTTTAAAGATGGGAAGTATAAATATTCACATGCTTCGCATTACCAAATTTAGTCGAATTTTTATTATTAATTTACAGCAAAATTTTCTTTTACCTTTACTGGTTTGTGTGTCTAACCCTTGCTAATCCTAACGAGTACGGTTCTGGTTATTCTTCTTCGTGTATCGGAATGAGGGAATGCAGAGGCGGAGTCCCCGTTGACATATTTATCTGATCCGGCTGGTTTTATCAGACGCGGTTCTGGTTTTCAAAGTCGTTTATTTCCAACCGACTTTCTTGAATTGCCTGTCTTGCGAGGTAAAATGGCTCTCAGACCGGTATTGGAAACATATATGGATAACTTTTTAAAACGTAAACCTCCTTATACTGTTAATTATGACTGGGCTGGTTTGTGAGGCAGTCGGTTCTTGAATATTTTAAAGTGTATGCCGTATATAGTATTCTTCGGCTTCATGCAGTAAAACATCGGCTTGTTTATTCGATATTTTTTATTCTTATACTAAAATATATTGGAATTTTTTTATGCGATTTAGTAACCGTGAATTTTCTCGGAAAACCAACCATTTTCCTCCCTTTTCGAATATCTGACTTCTCCATCATCGGAGATCAAAGTCGTTCCCGCCCTTTCGTCTTCGACTTCCCTATTCGGAGTTTCCGAGAAATTTATAGGCTAAACGTATGCAAAAAAACTTACAAAGCCCCAGATAAGATTCAAAGTCCCTAAAAGTAAAAGGGTATTTTGCGAAAAGCAAAAGCGTATCTAAAGGACGCTTTGTTATGCTGAACACGAATATGGCATGGCCTCACCCCGATTTTACGACAAGGGTTTTTCATTTCCGAAGGTTATATATTTTTTGATCGTACCCTTTGAATATGCTAATATTATGCAAGGGGCTGTTGTCCTTCATTTCAATGGCCCGACATTGTAGTTGTTATAAAATGCACGTAATACTCTGTTTTCTAAATGACAAAATGTTTCAAAGTTGTTCGAATGTCTCTGGAGAGCAATGTGCCATTTCGGTATGAATTTTTCGTTGATTTAATGGGCTGAATTTTACGATATATAACAATTTATTTTGGGAAAATATGCGGCAAGCGCTAAATGTTTATCTTAAAAATAATAATTGATGCGTTTATGCCAAAACTGCAGCCAAAAACCTGAAAAACTTATTCCTTTGGGCTTCTTAAACAGCTATACACCAATTCGACATTATTGAAAGATTCTATGTCCTTTTCACTTTCAAGGTTAACAAAAGCTGCCAAAATGAGCTGCTCTTCAATTTCTCAAAGATTTGCTTCCAAATCGATCATTCAGAAGCTCCGCGTCGTGCTGATATACTAACCAAATTGGTGGTCAAATTGGTGTATAGCTAATTCACGTTATTTTTGCATATGTGATCTGCTACTGGGATTGGTCATCAATTTTAAACCTCTTTATTTACCAAAGGAATAACTTTTTCATGTTTTTTGCTGCAGTTTTGGCATCTCCCTGATGCATTGTTGTTTCCATAAGGCATTTCGCGGTGGGGTGTGAGTTCTGGGCAACCCTGTATAACTTTTGAAAACTGTTTAAGAAGCCCTGGTATATTGAAAACTAAAAATATCTAATGCTGGAATGTTAACGTTACAGGAATTGTTTGTAAATTTTTTAAATAATTTTCAATAACAATTTTATGGAATTTTATGCACAATAACTGCCGTAGAAAATATTTCAGTAAGAATTTCATTCAATATAATTTTAAATATTTACCAATTAAGTTTTATTTCATTTGAAACCATATTTCATTTTCATATACCTACATATACACATACCTACTCATAAGTTTTCATATGATTGTGTTACCTATTGTATTCATAGGAAATAATCAATGAATGAATAATTATTCTTCAGTTATTTTAAATTTTGGTGGACGCACTATTAATAATTTTCCCAAAGCCGCCATAATTAAAAATTAAATATGTTTGCCTTTCCTATCTTTGCCTTTTCCTTTCTTTATATTTTTATTCCGAAAACATGCACCTATCTAAATAAACAATATCTATGTAACGTTTTTTACGCTTCTATAAAAATAATATAGGAAAGTTTAATTATCGCGCGGGTAATAATAATTGCAGGGTTATTATCACCTAGTAAGTAGTATACCTATACCTATTATTGAGCGTTAATGGAATGTCACCTTTAAAATATTACACCGACTATTTTTTTACAAGACCGACCGAAATGCATTATTACAATTGCACCTCATTAAAGCTGATTACATCGAATGCACTTTGCGTGCTCCTTGCAAATAAATCATTCTAATGGATAAGTTTTTATAATTGGTCGTTAATAAATTATTATGGCTTTACCAAAAAGTCGCCATCGACACGTAACCTAACACGCAGTAAAATATGGGTATACCTAATGTTTGCTTTTGTGTTACAGAAGACTATAATAATAATTTTACATTGTCTGATATTTATCTCATTGTTGATTTTACCTACGCATCATAGGTAAACAAATATTGTTCATGTGTTGAGCTAAAGCTAATTTTATGAATGTTAAATTATAGTTTTTGAACCTATATGTTTAAGTAAACGAAAATTTCAAAAGTTATTCCGCTTTGTAGTTTTCGTTAAAGCTTAATTTGCTTTTAATTTTTCTATTATAGGCTTCATTTAATAGTTTAGAAATCCTATTTGAGGTCTTTAATTTTTAAAATCTGATCACCAAAAATATTGTAGTTAAAGTAGTTGTCTATGCAATTTATAATCCTTTTCAGGAGAATGCTAACTTAGTTTGGTATCTGTTAAACAGATGGCGCGTATTTTTCAGTCCTTTTCAGTATAGGATTCAATAGAAATAGTATATAGGCAAGTATGCACCAAGATGTAAATACCTCTAACATGTAGTTCAAAAATTTAAGATTATCACAATGTTTAATAATTGCATAATAAAAATTAATAGATAAATTAACAATTTTTATTAAAATTATTTTTTTGATACAATTCTTTGCTTTAGCTACTTAGCATAAACGATTATAAGAATATTTTTTATTCGTTTATTGTAAATGTATATTTCTATATAAAGATACTCACAAACGAGAATAATAAAATATTATTTATTAGTCTATAAGAACCATAATTTCAACACCTCATATTTACATCTTTAACATCATGTTTTAAATGAAGTCATGCACGTAATTGCCTCTCTACATACTATAGTGCAGCTATACCTACATTAAAATCAGTTACTATATATCAATAATGTATTTAACACACTTATTAAAAACAGATAAGTAATATTATCTATGTAATCTACTCTTATAAAATTTTATATTCAACAACATTGTAACACAATAAAATTAATATGCGAATAAAATAAACTCATTGAAAATATATTTTAAAGAAAGTACCCACTTGTTTGATAATATGCATGGGTAGTTCAATAATTATAATTTATATCATTTGCACATTTTAAATTAATTAATGGAAAGGTTGACAATGTATCATTTTTTAAACAATATTTTGACCCAACGCTATAATAATATTATAAATAAAATTTATTAATTATAAAAAAAATATAAATCAAGTTATATTAAAAGTTTTGCAAAGGTCATATATGTAGGTACTTGGCCAGTTCATGCAAACTCTTCTTTTCTTCTTCATCTTCATCGTCTGCTATATTAATATACCATCCTTTAGTATGTAGATAATATCTAATAAAATCTCTTCTGCCTCCTCAAATACCGCTCTGCAAAATAAAAATATATATTAATCTTATTGATTATAGAACGTTGTTCAATTATAAGTAGGTATACTATATTCTTTCAATTATGAATGCCAATTTAGTAAACACCTAAACAAACATCTGTATACAAAGTATTATAACAGTATCACTATTCTTTCTAAATAACTTTATTTTAAATAAATTAGTAGTTACAATTTGCTACAGTTACACCTCCGGTATAAACTATTTAATAGGTATAATGTCTAGTTTTATTAATTTATAATCTAAGGAAATTGTAGCAATAAATCTGCCATTTTTTATTACGGCAAACAACATGTTACATGCAGACATGCAGATAATTAAGCTATTGAATCTCAATCAGTAATTACATCATTAGATACAGCTACTTACAACAATGTTGTATGCAAATCTTTTATATATAAATGTTCACTTATGCGTGCAATGTATGCAGTTATGCTTTTGCAGCTCCGTTGAATAAATGTAATGAATTTATTACGTATAAAATAACTTAGTAATAACTAGATGAATATACTGTGTAGTAATTAAAAATTTATAATAAATGAACTAAAAGACTACGAAAATTGGTATATAACTGTGGAAGATAAATAGGATAAAGAAAATAAAGGAGTGGAGGATATAAATAAAAGAAAAACATGAAAATTTAGGGAATATTCAGCATAGAAACATACGTACTTTATGCAGGCACAGATATGCAGCCTAAAGTTTTGCATTAATGTTATAAATGCCACAGACTTAATTTGACGGTTCAATATCGCACAATGCACAAGCGTTGGGACCAAAAATAATTGCACATGCATGCAGATGTATATGCAGATGAATGAATAGTATCGTTTTACAATGGGTAGGTATATCGGGAGCAGCGGCCATAAAATTAATTAAGCTGAGGAGTGTACAAACATTATTCAAATTTATTTGCAAAAATAGTTACCAAACCATGTTTGTTCCAGCAAGTGCATCATTACGACAATTTACTGTTAAAAATATTAGATTAATCTACTAATATTTCTATATACATTAGGTTCTATTACATATTACAACTTATTTATATTTTACATATTTTTGTATTTATTAGCAGAATTAAATGAGATTTATGTAATTCCTATAGGTATAAGGTACCACATCAGGTTATAAAAAAATATACTAGTATCATTTCATTCTTATCAAGACGGAATTAAAAAGAACCGGAGGTCGTGGGAAGCGAAATTTGAATATCATCAGTATAATTATATTACTTTTGTCTTGTTATTTTTGGCCCCTTTCTTATTAAAATGTGCCTGGAGGTGTGAGGAGTTCCGCGTTTTCAACTTGGTTATTCCCTCTTTATGTCTTTTTTTTACCGTTTTAAATTCGCCTTCTTTTCATATTCAAATATACCTTCACTATTTTATACCAGAGAGGAAAATTATGTTTGGCGTGTTGAAATTCATCGAACGGAAGTGACAGCTTTTAATCTAAAATTGTAAAAAAAGTATTATTAATGATGCTTTTATTATCTGATTCTTATAAGTTTTATTATTATAAAAAATGCCTTCATTAGCATAAATTATCCTAATTTTAACTTCCTAAACTTTAAGTTTTTCAAACAACTTTTCAGACTTTTAAGGAGTTAATGGTCTGTATTCAATGCTCCATTTTAATGCTAATTATTTAAATGATTAAGGAGTGAGTCTCTTTGTCAGTTTTACATTGATGTTATATGAACGTTGTTATATGACTATACGGGCATTGATTACTTTAAAGACACTCTTTAAACGATTGATTAGTTGATAAACAAACCAACTTCATAATTTGTTTTTTTATATATTTTCATCTAATTTCTCATTTTTGTTTTCATTATTAATTTCAAGTACAAAGACAGCTTCCATTAGACACTTATAAAGGAAAAAGAAAGAGTGACATTTGTGTCATTGCAACTTCTCACTTTGACAACTGTTATTTTATTAATCTTTCTTTGTTCAACTCATAGAAACGACCATGTTGCGGTCTGAATTGAATCATTCGGTATATAAAACAATAAAGCACAGTTTAAGCATGATTTAGATTCAAGAATAATACCCTTTTTGTACCATATTAATTGACTAATAGAGAAAAAAATTAATTGAATAAGTATAGGTAGGTACCTTTATATGCAATTATAGGTAGATATGTGAATTTTTACCTTAACGGTCGATATATCTAATAATTTTATGTCTTTATATACCCACATATCTGATCATTATAAAACGATCTGCGTTCATATATTATAGTTCCGTGATAATTTTTGTAATATTCAGCATAGAAGCACGTTGGCCATACACTAGCCACTAGAATATTCAAAGTATTTATTAGGCAATTTTCCATCTTAACAGATAACCCGTCCTATAAGCATAATTACCTACCATCGACCAGTTTTTAACTGAATGTTGAACGTACAGTCCTCTATCCTGTCGGCCACCCAAGGCGCTGACGAACGGCATCATCGTTTCATTATTTTTTCGTTTTCTTCCTTTTCGCCCATCGAAATTTCTTAATTGCGGAGCTCCTAACCGGCCAATTTGCTCAAAAGTTCACCTAAAAATTTACTGCAAATTAATATCAGACGGAGTATTTTTAGGAACTTAATCTCATTAGGGGCATTAAAGCATCTCTCCGGCGAGCGCAAATTTTAATTAAAATAATTCCGAAAATATCGTCCTTTATTCGTGAAAAGGGAAAAAAGAAAACGACTTGCTGCGCCGCTGCTCGTTTATATGGCAGTCGATTTTGTAATATCTTCACCGCTGTCATTTCCACTTATTAAGATAACTCGCCGCGGGTTTTATAAAAGGAAGAAGGGGTTAATAAGCCGCGGGAATATTTTTAAGAAGCGGTTTTTGACCACGATGGCTCGTAAATTTTACCATTTTAAACGGCGGGGCCAGTCCGCCAATAAAAAGAAGTGTTGGGTTTTATTGAAGAACCCACCCATCTAAATGTTTGTAAGGTAAATCGCAATTAAAACCAAATTGCCATTACCTATATGTGTGCACCTACTACTGCGCTATAGAATTATATAACTACACAATTTTAGAAGTTTTGGGATTCTAACTTAACATACATACCTACCTGATGTCTTCATTTCTCCTCCACCAATTTTAAGAATCAATTTCATCAGGAAAATCCATCTAATATCCATTCTTTCTTGATGCATTTCTTATGAGTAGATCTCTTTTCACTACGTTTCATTCAAGTAGTTCAAAAATGAATGGTTGAAAGCCTAAATAAAAACAACACAAAGATTAAAAAAATACCAACTGAAAATAAGAATCTTATCTTATTAGTGTCAATAAAATTGTAATAAATATTACTAGTGATTAAATTTAGAAAATCATTGCATTTAAATAATATATCGCTTGTATATGTCATGTCAATGTATAAAAGCTATATGTTAATAGAAAAATCAATATGACGCGTTGCACTGTGCATGCTATAAATAGATGTTGCATGTATGAAATCAACTAATATTAATGAGTTACATTCTATATACCTAATTCGAAATATTGACTTTATCAATTTTCTAGAAATTAGTCATAGCTTGTAAATCCCAGCGTATAGGTATTTCCGGAAATTTGAATTTATTATTGCATTCCTCAAAGAATTCTATAATTTAGCGGGAACCATTTGAAACTTTTTATATTTGATTTTTTTTATTCATTTTGTGAAATACCTACGTACTAATAATTTAATACCTTCTGTATATGCAATATAGTTGATGGTTTTAATTAATAATCCATTCCCTAATATACTATACATATACTATAGATGTAGGTACCAATCTTTATTACTCTCTTTTAAGACTACACGTAACGTGCGTAATATTTTTATATTTTGTCATTTTCAGTTTCTCATTGCCAGATGTCTCAATAAATATACATCCTATAGGTATGCATATGTGTACATAGAAAGGAATAGCGTTGCATCTGTGCTGATGGGTAACGAAGATAACTGATTTTAAATAACGAAGAATTTGTTTCCGTTAGGTACATATTTGTTCAGATCAAATAACTTGTTCAAACAACTGCTCATTTTATAAAGAGTTATGTTTCAATTAGACCGTAATTATTAAGTTTTATATTTGTTTACGGACGATGCAACAGTGGGCTAAATAAATAAAAACGAGTGTTATTACCTAGTGTATAGGCACCTTTGATGCTGATGTGCTAATCATTAATTATTACATAATTTTACCTATATAAACGTACATCAGTAAGATGTACCTTAGATATACCTGGACTATCAATACCAAATAGGTGGTGTGACTAAAAATATTTTATGAATTTGCTACTTCTATAATCTACCCATATATCTGCCAACACCTTCTGATAAATTCGTAAAGCAAATAAACTTATTATAGTAAAGGTCAATGCATTGACAATCAGAAATTTTATAAAATTGAACGTTAAGTATTCAAATTTAAAATTAATTGTAATAATAGTGCGGTACGTTATTGGTATAGGTATATTCCTAGTAATTTAAAAGAAATTTAATTATTAATTAAAAATCAGCACACATTGTATTGTATACTATACTGATATAAATTTGTAATGCACTTTGCACGGAAACAATAAATAATAATAAGTTATTCTTTGTTAACACGACAAAATAATGAACGGCATGTAAGCGAATTCATTTTGCATTTCGGTATCTCATTTTTTATTTTTATCGCAAAGATCTAACAATGTTATTGCAACCGTACAGGTTATGGTACCTGCTCAATCTTACTGCACATACGTGTTCGTCATAAATTACACTTGGGAGAAATTCAAACAATGAAAAATTAAAGCATATTTATTCCATAAGGACATTGTTCTTTTAACTTTGTTTCAAGGTCCACTATACGAGTATAATGAATCTGCCGGCGATACTCATATTGACTGGTATCATAAATAATTTATTTAAAAGATAATAAATCAGATATAGTAAGATAATAAAAATATTTTTACAAAGAAATTAATTGTGTTTAAAAAATGAACAAACTAACGAACATCAGTTTTGCGAAAGGAACAGGTATAGAATTAGGATTTTCTTTAATCCTTTCCCTTTCATATATTTTATTCTTTCACTTTCATTAAAGCTTTCTCTTTAAAAGTATTACAATTTACATATTATGTCTTTTCATTTCTTATCTAATTTATAGTAGGTCTATCTAATTAATGTAATTTTTTTAACGAATCCTTTAAGTGGCCAATTTATATTTACATCAAGTATCAACATCATTTTAAGTACATCAAGAAGGAAGAAAAATCAATGATTACATAAGTAGGTAGGTAGGTATAGACATAATTTGTTAAGAATATAAACACCTCTACTATTTTTACTGCTAAATCGATCATAAAGTCGTAACTAACATTTTATGGACAAACCAGGTGTGTAAACTACAAGTGGTTTTGGTATATGGTCATTTTTTTCCTTATGGTCGTTCTTATTGTAGCCGAAATACTCCAATAAAATTAAAGAGATATCAATCATTATTTGATACTCAATGCGGCCATAAAAACGTTTTTACTTGTTACGCGTTATACTGTTTTATGAATGGGTCTTTAGCTTTTTACAAATCATTGTATACCCACTTTTTAAGAGGTAATTATTATTTTGAATGTTTATATTCCTTTTTTATAGTTTCACACGCCTTTAACGCTTTAATCATTCGCAATATTAGCTATTGACTCTTCTAGTGTTACGATTCGAATAAAATATTTAACTGAGAGTATGTATTAGGTAGGTACTTGTAATTTTTTAAGCAGAACTTGATGTGTCATTACTTTTTTATTTGTACATAAATTTAAATTATGGGATTGTAAAATCAACGTTAAAAATCAATAAATAACTAATATTTACAGAGCTAACTTGTATTATCAATACATTCTGTATTAATGTAGTTTTTTAAATACCCACTATTTATACATAGATAGGTACTACATAAATAGTATAAGTACCTAATTTAATAAATGCAAAGAATTGTTTAAAAGATACATTAATAAGCTCTTATAGTATAGGTAGGATATGAAATATATCTACAAAACTTTAGATAACTTTAAATAAGTTGCAGAAAATGTTATTTAATTATAATTTATTATAATATTTGTAATTAAGTCGGCCTACCTAGCAAGTATTACTAATTTTTATAAACATAGACAGCTCTTGTCAATCTTAGTTTAAACACAATTTTCATATACATATACAGAGTATTTGTATATTGTGAATGTAAGCCATCACATGTGATCTGGTTAACATAACATCGCTCTAAAAGAATATACAAAACGTTTACTTACCTAAATATTTTTGTTTATTCGAAAAGCGAGGCCACACCAAGCACGAAATCCATGCGAGTGAACAGAATGGTTTTGTTTACGTATCGTTTTATAATGGAAACTAACAGTATAGAATGGCACTTCATGGCGTCTATTTAGAGGCCATGCTTGTCGAAGGCGTTCCACGCTATATGTATACCTAACTCCTATAGGTAGGTATACAATTTTCGACTAAAGTGACAGTTACAATATGCTTGTAGTATTGGGATGTATAGGCTACCTACCTCAAAACTTTTTTAGAAAGCGAGGGAAATTTGAAATTTTATTCTAGCTTGTCACGGAGAAGCGTAATGTTTGTATCGGGTGCATAATGGCGAAATTGATGAAATTTATTAATTTTTTTAGTTTTATGTTTGGTGAATATGTATGTACCTACCTACGCAAGTCCTATGCAATATTGGTACTATAAATAAATATACCTATTTGTAACATTTATTGGTAATATGGTATAATGGTAAAATGTATACTTACAAGTTTCTTTAGGCCTATTATGAAAGTTTATTATTGATGACAGAAGGGAGGAAAAACTGTGAAACTTTTTCAATTTTACAGCCAGTGCACATTCGCGATGGAACCGGTGATGTGTTCCCAAAGGAAGGGAAAGTAAAATATATTTTTAGGGTTAGTTGAAATATGACTCTATTACTTCTTTTGGAAAATCGATTCATACGCATATACCGCATAGTTAATTAATTATTGATATATTAAGGCAAGTTTTTTAGCGGAACTAAAAGTTACCTGAATACAAAAATTACGATTCGTCTATGCAGTGCAGTAAATACCTACCTAATTTTTGAATTCAGAAAAAAATCATGGAGTTTTTAAAATAATTATACCTATTTATATACTTAATCTTTTCTCGCTCGCTTCTCAAGCTCCACATTATATCTTATTCTTCCTTTTAGACTTGAATATTCTATGTGTCTTATTTTACACATTCCCACACCTCTTATTTTATGAAATTATCCAAAGATCGTGAGTGTTATAGGCACATTAGCAAAATAAACATTTTAATTTTACATAGTTTATCAATCAACAATCTTTTTAAGAGGGTTAACCCATCGAAAAATTAAACCTGTATCTATACGCCAGATGGCGGTCAAAGTTGCTTTCAAAGTAAGCGCAATCAACGTATCTCTATGATAAAAATGTTTGGATCGAACCGTTTTTCAACAGCACGAGATATTTGACTATGTAAGTGGAAGGCAACAATTATAGAACAGACGGATAGAATGGCAGCTCATAGTGAGTTATAGGATAAACACTTGATAGTTCGGATGATGGGTGAACTAGAATTTCAATCATTAAATAACGTTTTACTGGGTTGTTCGGTTAAGTGGAGCAACGCAAGTTTATTTTCTCGTAAAATAGAATAGCCGTTTTCATGGTATAGTAGTGGTAGGTTTTTTTAATAAGTCCTCTGCTTGTTCATATTTTAATGTTTTTTCGCTTTATTTTCATTGTTTTTATTACCTTCTACTCCTTTCGAGAATTGAGAAAACCGTGTAGAGATTACCATCAACATAAACTTGCGATGTGGAAAATAAAAATTAATACCGGGTAGTTACATTGTATTTGTGTAGGTATATACTAAAAATAACATTCGAAGTGATCTAGATCAGTTGCTTCTAGAGACCTTGATTCCGCGAAACGCAATAAACTAAGGCGAAATCCCACAAGAAAGCAATGCGATGGCGAAGCGGACATTTTATTTAAATTTTAATTTAAAACCTTGTATTTTCCCAATTCCTTATAATAAAAGTTGGCGGCCATTCACGGCGTTTGCGTTCGTGTCTCGGCGGAGCTCAATGCAATCGTTGTAAATTAGCATTAGCGTCTACTAACTTTATGCTATTTGTGTCAAAATAAGCCCACGAATCCTCTCTGCCCGTCGCGCGATGAGGTTCTTGCCATTTAAACTGATATTAGCAATGTTATTTCTTGCCTTAGACCAGGCCTCAATGTTTAAAATTTATACCTTCAATGTGTTATCTGATATCCAATACATGGTATAGGTAGATATATGTATAGTAGTAGGTACTTAAAATTTCATTTTGTATTTAATTTTTACATACAAAATAACAAAATATATGTGAATATTTTATTATCTACTAATTAAATCTTGATTATTAGTGAATCTTTGTCTATAATGCTTATAATCGTGGCAGTACACGACAGAACAATATTTAACTGGTCCTATCTAGGCAAACATATCTTCGATTAAACTCATATTTACAAATCAATCATTAAATCAACTCATATTCGCATTCATCAAAGGAAATATAAATGTTAAAGGGTTGCATTTAAATAGTATGTTCTGTTCTTACTATGACCAACATAAATGATTTTGTGGTTTCATAAATATTTCAATAATTGCTTAGTTAACTTTCTTGACTGGACTAGAGATAAATGCAGCAAGCACACCGATTTACTTAAATAAAAATATATTTCGTATTCGCATGCACTCCACGACTCTCTCGCGTTTTGCTTATTATTGCGGGGCAACAACACCATTCCGAGATAATGCCGAAGAAGCATTCCACTAAAATATACATATTATGTTATACTTAAGTTGTCTTTTATAAACGGCTGGATTTTAGAGGCGTTTTTATGCCCGCCCGGCTTTTTATTCGGCATGAATTTCAAAATCCGCAATTGTTTTATCGAAATTGATTCAATGTAAAGGCAATGGCGTACCTACATGTAGAAAAAAATATTACAGTCAATTCAAAAAAAATGTTCTCAAAAATTATTATTCAAATAAATAATAATAATCACCTGTAATGTTTCTTATTTGACTGACAGTAGATACACTCAAACAATAAAAAATAATAGGAAATTAAAAAATATGGGAAACATTTTTTGTTATGCAAATATTACTTGTTTACCTACATTAATGCAAGTGTGCAAAAATGCAATAAAAATTAATTTATTCCAAAAAAATTGACATGTTCAATAAATATAATTTGATTATTATATACCGACAACGTAATATATCAAATATTCCAAAAAAACGTCTATATATGTTTATGTTTATTTCGCACAATGAGTATCGTAAATTATATCCAACCGCCATTGGGCCACTGATGAGTGCAGTTGGTCCACGTAATTTTTGCCAAATGCCTCGACGTTCAATTTAATGACTGCGCCCGTTTAAATTAAACAGATGCACATTGACAACTTGTTCTAAATCGGTTAATTCGTTTTTATGCCGAGCTATTTTTAAAACCCTTTAATGGTATCCTATAGAGGAATGCAAAATGGCAACACAATTTGATTTGAAAATATCGGGATAAATATACACCGTTTTATGTATGTATGTATTTGAAAAAACAAAGGGAAAACCAATACGTAGATTCTTGATGTATTTTTAAGAAAATGTGATATGAAAAGTATTGAGTAAAAAATAGAGGAAGGTTTGAAATGCATATCAAAAAATTATGGAGAAATAAATAAGAAATAAATAAAGTACTTCAAATTGGTAAAGAAAATTTAATATCCTGATGCAATTAACAAGACAAAAACTTTTTTTTCTACTAAAATTTCAATTTATTCTTCACGTTAGACAATTGTTTCAAATATTCCCGCATATAGGTATCGATTATTTTTTTCATTACAAACAAATTTTACAACTATGTATATTTTAATTATACTAATAAGATTCAATGGTCGGTCACTGCCAAAATCTGACTTACTAATATTCTTAAATTTCTTCTGACATTTAATATTTATGGCTATCAAGTTCAATTAGTGATAATTTATTGACGATTCTTATACGCTTTAGCTAATTGTAAAGTGTTAAATAAAAATAATACACAATTTGTACTTAAACTATTTATATATCTGATGACATTACATTTATACCGCGTGTTGTAATTGTGTTGAAATGTGCTATATCGAATTAACAAAGAAATAAGAGTCTATAGAACGCGGAATTGTGCAATAGATAGTCTTAAAACTCTGCTTTTAATTAGCTAGACAATTCATTTGTCAATATTAAAGTTTAAATTGAAATTAATCAATTATAAGGAATAATGCAGAACATTCTGGTGTAATTGATGTGGACAATTTATAGAAATTCCATTAAAATGATTTTTAAAAGCTTTTATAAAATATTTAGCTATTATTATTTTAGAAACCCAATTATTAAATATTTAATCAAAAATCTCTAAAAAAATATTATGTAACTGAATCGTTTTATGTTTTTGAGAAATTTCCATTGTACGCAGTTAAACAAAAAACAAAATTTCCACAGTATAATATTACATAAAACATGTATTGTAATTTGTATATTATTTTTAATAGTATGTAAGAATGCTTATCTACCAATTATTGTACCTATAACCACAACAAAAAAACTTAGTAATTGTTGTTAGTAATTATTGTATACAAAATTAATTTTATTATTAACTAAGACACTAATGATTCTAATTATGTCTGAGATTTCATTTTAAGAAAAAATATGTAAATGTGAAATTATTTATATATAGGTACTCACCAAAATTTTTTGATCAACATTGTAGAGCAAAAATTATAACGAAACGGATGTTTTAGTCCCCTTGTCGAACTTAACACCACCCTTCTTCTATAATAAACTAAACGTCTTCGTATTCAAGACGGAAACTAAGCCGTTTTGCATAAAGTGAACGAAAGAGACTTTCTAATTTTTTTGCATGAGAAATGAGAAACGAGGTATCTTTCTAGGGAATAGTAAAATTTTCTATGCATTTAAATGCTTTATTTGCTTATGCTGCACCGTTTCCTCGTAATACCCGGCAAAAAATAAAGAAGTTTCTTTACCAAACAATGGAAGTGGTTGTTGGAGCTAGTTATAAGGGTGTGCACAAAAAATTTAGCGTGTATAAACGTAAATAGCGATGCTCAGCAGGTAGAGGAACGAGTTCGGTTTTATGGTTTTGAATATAATATGGTTTTATTGTTATCGGGTTGTTAGTAGTGGATTTACCCGATTCGAAATTGGGTCATCGGAAGCACCCAAGAATTCGCCCCAATTCTACTTTTTTTCTATCACCAATTCGAATGAAATAGTGTAACTTAGATTGCAAATGAAAATGATTTAATAATTT